GTGGTATTTAGAGGAACCTTAGGTTCTTGACAAATGTAAACACAGCAGAGAGCCCCAAACAGGCACAGATCTTTGAGTGTATGTTGGCATTTCAAACACACACACACACACGTTATGTTACAGTATATGTTCACATACTGAACACATACAGTGAGTCCCTCGTCAGTGGCCCCTGAGGGGCTCATTCACCTCATTAGTATGATGAGCCCCGATGGAAATACAGAGTAGACAAGAGGAGAATATGGGTAAGGTAACATGAAAGGAGAAAAAAAAGCCTTTGGGAAGATGTGATGCCAAGAAATGAGAGAGGGAGAGAGAGGGGGAGGGCGAGAAGGATCACAAAGTAGAAAAGAAACAACAAGACAAAGACATTAGGAAGGAAGAAAAGAAAATAGGCTGCAAATGAGACGAAGGAAAAAGAGAACAACGAGGTGGAAATTAGGTGGAAATCTGTGAGAAAAAAGACTGGAGTGGAAACACGGAGCAGAAGAATATATTTACACCTGACAGAAGGACGGGTGAGAATTTATTATTCATTATTTAATAGTTATGATAAATGACTGACAAACAGCAGAGGGGAGGTGAGAAGAAGGAGGAGGGGGGTGAGATGAGGAAAGGAGGGAGGGAGAGAGGGGGAGACGTGGTGCTGTAAGTGTCGGATAATTGATTGTAGCTGCTGGGTAAACACTATACAGCTCTGGAATAACACACTTAATAAAGAAGAAATCCTCCTGAAAAATGGTTGTTACTGCCTGAAATGATTCATTCAAAAACACACTCCCTCTGACAACATGACATCAATTCAACAGCCAATCAGCAAACAGGCAGAGAAACACAACTGTTTCTGGTTCATTTAAACCACCAGTTCACCGACATGGCAGAAATCCCTATCAGATTGACCTTAAAAACAGATCTTTCATAAACTGACTAGTTAGGAAAAATTTAAAAAATGTGTTTATAAACAAATGCAGCTTTCACCTGCTCCTGCAGAGGGCGCTGTGAGTACATTTTAGATACCCTTGTTCCTTTGTGTAATTGAACAATAAACTGCAAGCGTGACCAACCCGCGGCTCGGGGGCCACACCCGGCTCTTTGCCTGGTTTCACGGTTTATGTCAAATTCTGTATTTCTGTTTTTTAAGGTATGTGAATCTCACACGCACGACCGTTGATGCAAATAATTTGGACTGATTTAATGAAATTAATTAAATGTATATTCCGACAAAACATTTTCCTAATAAATGTAATTAAATTAGCTTAATCTAAGTGAAAAATACACAAAAACTCCCATAAAAAATTACATTTAACGGTTAATAATGCCTCAGTTTCCCTGTATTATTTTAGAGTAAACATAAAGCATGCAAATCTTTTTCTCCCCTGCAGAGGGAGCCCACAGCAGCAATAAACTGAGTAGTGCAGCCACCTTTGGACTTCTAGACTCAGCAGGTCCATTGTATTTTTTTTATTTGGTAGTATGAAGAACTCAAGTGAACATTAACCAGAGAAACACACAGCCGAGTGTGTTTACACGACAGTGACGGAATCTGATTAAAAAATACAGACTAATAAAACACATGTGAGCCAGTCTAAATAATCTGACTAATCTGACTACCACACCCAGTTAAAAGCATAAACAACATCCAGCAGACTCTGAGGCTCGAGACCCTCTGAGGGCCTGGCTTCACTGTCACGTTACATTCATCAGTTCCAACCCTGCGGCAAACCTCAGATCCTCAGGCTCAGAGTAAAAAGCACCGATGATGATGATGCCATTTCTTAAATTATTCAATCAGTTACAAAGTGCTAATGGGAAGAACGGGAGAAAATAAGAGGCTGATAATTAGCATTTCTACACTCTGGTCTGAGCCAACACTGTAGTCACATTCTGTTCCTCTCTCACTCGTACTTCCTTTCTTTATCCTGTTTCCTCCTCTTTTCTCCAGCTCGTTTTACTAAACATTTTCAGAACCTCTTAGTTGACCTAGTTTACGGAGACATTAAAAAGACAGCAAACCACATTAGATTTACAAATGAGTTTGTGTTGTCACTGCAGATGCAGAAGTCCAGTGTCAAGGGTTTGGCGATGGCTTGGTTCAATCTAAAATACACGACCAAGGTTCAATAAGTAGCATCTCATTCACTCAAAGTTAAAAAAAAACAAACAGTTCCAATTATAGAATTATACAGGAGGTAATCTACAGGATTACTAGAACCTTGACTACAATGATTTGAATTAAATAACAAAGAGAAACTTGAAGGACACACAGACAGGGATGAACTACAGATGTGATGAAGTGCAGAGCTGTTCAGCAGTTACAGAGTCATCTCATTCACTCAAAGTTAAAAAACAAAACAGTTCCAATTATAGAACTATACAGGAGGTAATCTACAGGATTACTAGAACCTTGACTACAATGATTTGAATTAAATGACAAAGAGAAACTTGAAGGACACACAGACAGGGATGAACTACAGATGTGATGAAGTGCAGAGCTGTTCAGCAGTTACACTAACTGATTTCAACCCTGTGGCTCATTAAGGCAGTCATTTTGACTGGTTTGTGTTAATTAGTTGGATAACAGACACTCAGGACCCAGAACACAGCCCTCAGGTAGTTTACAGCAGTGTTTCCCAATTCTTTTTTTTTTTCACAAATCTTCGCGACCCAAGTCAATAGACATTATTCCTAAACTCCTGGGAAACATGATGCAAGACGACCCCCCCCAAAAAAAAAAACTCTTGCGACCCGCTTGAGGGTCGCGACCCAGTCTTTGGGAAACAGTGCAGTTAAATGAACCGATGCAGTCTGCAGCAGATGTGGTCCAACCTGCTGTAGATCCTAAAGCTGGCTCCAGGAACACACTGGTAAATAAACGCCAGTGTCAAACCTCCTAAATCTTCCTTTTTTTTTTTTAAGCCCAACTTTTATGTTACATGTGGTGGCAGCTGCCTTACAAAACAGTTTTTCAGAATGGTTCCATGTGCTGCGGATTCCCCCGAGGGTGGACTGAGTCTGTTTATCAGAGTCCAACGGGTTTTTGTTTTTTTCACTGCTTTACTACTTCCACATTCACAGCTTAGCGAGATGACATCACATCACATTCCTTTACCAACAGATGCTTCACATGGCAAGCTGAGAAAACAAACCGTCTGTGCTCGTGTGTGTGTTAGTGTGTGTGTGCGTGCCAGCCTTCAGCCTCAGTGTAGGATCAGCCTTAGGAACACACACACACACACACACACACACTTGAAGTACAGCAGAGCATGTCTCAGTGGAGATCTGCTCCTCGTTGTAGCAGCGTCTATAAGACGTACACACACACACGACATGATGTTCATCACGTGTGGGAGTGTGTGTTTACATCTTGTTAACTTCTATCACGTGTATCTGGATATGGGCGAATCATTCAGTGGGGGGGCTTGGCGGTTAAGGAAGTGGTCTTGAGTCTGGAAGGTTTCAGGTTTGAGTCCACCAACTGCTCTGAGCAAGGCACTGTCCCCACACTGATTTGTTTTTCTGCCTCTCCCTTACATCACAGTTCTTTGTTTACCTTCAAACACAGGGCATGAGCTGCTCTTTCTAGGAAAAGGGAGAAGGCAGGAGAGTGGGAGATGAAGGAGGAGGAGGAGGAGGAGGAGGACAAGTGAAAT